TTAAGTTTTATTAATATTTTGTACATGGAAACAACTTTGCCTCATTTTCCTCTTAATTGTATTTTTTCCAGGGACGTGAAATTGATCTTGTTGTGGGAACAGATGTTAGGGATGGCAATGGCACAACACGAGTGATTAACTGGTGTGGGTGTATTGTTCAGGATCCTCATCCTGCTGTGCGTGCTCTTGGATTTCTTCCTGAAGAAGGGCATGGCGTTTACGTGGCACGGTAAGATTTTTTTCTTTTAGTAAAAGTTTTTATTTTCATTTTAGTTCTGGAAAGTAATGACATGAAGTTGCAGGTGGCGGTAAAGCAGTAGAACCGTTTTTAGCCTCAGTATGTTTGTAGGCATTAGAACACTGCTGTTATCACTACTTGAGGTCTTAAATAGTTAACTCGTGAATATAACTGACTGAGGGTAGAAAAATGCTTTAGAGTTTGATTGCTCAGCGTTCCAAATTTCATCTAATAAAGGAAGTAAAATATCAAATAATGAATTGTAATTTTTTTCGTGATAGTCATGAAATGATTGCAACAGATCACCGTTTTAGCCCTCTGATTACAGGGATGAAAATCATTACCTTTTAGAATTAGTTGAACTCTTTACACTGTTTACAAAAGAAGTTCGATGTTTAATTTAGTGCATTTTTAAAAAAAATTAGTGTGGTATTGATCTCAATTTTCTGGAAGTTGGAAATTATGAGATAAATAATTAAAACTTCATTTAAGATACCTGCTGTAAAAGAATTATAGGCTCCATTAGCATCCAAAATTTGAAGATCATTCTATGACATTAAATAATAATTTCAGGTAGGGCGAGCCTGTTTCAATGCATGTTTCAACTTTTTTCATCCAAACGTTGGTCATTGTATCAGTGGACCGGTGGAACCCACATGTCAGTCAATGTGGTTGATTTGTACGAAAATTGAAAAAAACCATGCATGGAAATAGCTCCACCTTTCAGTTTCTATTACATTGAATGTGTCCCTTGATGTGCTGCTGCATGGCATCATTTGCTCCCACCAAACAGAGTGGCTTATCTCAAACGTAGAATACTTTAGATTCTATTCACTATGATCCTTTAAAAGCTAGACTTAAATAACCCGGACAACATAAAATCGGATATCAAACTCATGTACAAGAATGTTATCTAAACTAGTTTTCATAGGCTTTCATTTAACAATGGCTGATTTTAATGCTCTTTTTTAACTCTTTCATGTTCTAGCCCATGATCCCACCTTAAATGCATACATATATAACTTTTTTTAATGATTGGAATGAATCCTAGTTACTCGATTTCATTATTTATTCTGGAACAAATCTAACCATATAACTTCAGACTTTAGTTCCTAAACCTGTGTCTGTACTCTAATAAGGAATTTTCCTATAAGTTTTACTCATCTTGAAAAGAGAAATCCAAATATGGGTATTCCAAAGTCAATTCTTGATCTTGCATAATCCCAACCTTACAGAAAAGTTATGGTTATGCTTTTTTATAGAAATGTGCCAGTTGAAGAAAGAATGAAAGATTAGAGAAACAAGCACACCGGGTGAAGAAATATTATGGGGGAAATTGGTTGCTAGGATTCTAATTAGAGTGCTCTGATATATCAAATTGAATGACCAAATAATCCTAATTCTTATAAGAAAAGGCACAACTATTATGTACTAGTCTCAACGCTATACTTTAGGGCTTATATAGTAACCTAGTCACAGTGTTATTTATGCGAAGATCGCTGAATGCTGCTGAGCATCACATAATGAATCCACTAGGATTTTCTTAACAGAACTTGTGATATTGTGTATTTTCGTGACAATTTGTTCTCTCAGGTGGTGTCGTGGTAGTCCTGCTCATAGATATGGTTTAATGCTCTACAATGGATTGTTGAAATCAACGGAAAACCGACTCCTGATCTGGATGCTTTTGTAATGTTACCAAGGTACACCCAGTTGCTTCCCTGATTATCTATTATGCTGCATACGTAAGAGTTCATTTATTTGATTCCTTGATGAGTTATTGAAAGGTAAATCTCCTGTCTTTGCTTAATCACTTATTAGATTTTTAATGTTTAATAGCAATACTGAAGCCTATTTGGGTTTTGACAATGCAATAGGCATATAAGCCTCTTCATTCCTTAAGTTGACTTCTTAACTATGTTACTTAGAGTCGGGTATGGGGTAACTTTATAAATTCCAAGTTTCTGACCATACTCGTGACAGACACATTTCGCATCTGATACTCACCCGATTCCGAGTAACATAGCTTGACAGAATGCACATTTTATCTCTGTTAAATCTTGAAATTTTACTCCCTCTTCATTCTCACCTGAATACTGTAACTTTGGATTTGAATAGAATCACGACACATGTACTTGGGCTTTTCATTTTTAAAGTACTTGTGTTTGGCACTTTCATCCAACACAATTCGAGTGTGGTTATGGGGTTATGATTCTCCAAATATAATTGAAAGATATATAAAAAGAAAAATGAGTATTCCTTGTCAGGTGCATATACTCTAAACTCACTCATTAATCAACTGGCTGTGAGAAAACTCATAGGGATAATGCCAAAAACTGCTCTTAACGTATGATTAAATAGTCATTTTGGTTCATATTCTTTTTTTTTTTAAAGTATTTTGGCTCCCAACCTTTATTTTGGGGCGAAAAGGTCCCTTTATGAATGAAAACTTTTAGTCAACAAACTGTCAACCCTCTAAAATAGGAGTTTTTGTCATAAAATAAACATTGGAGGCCAAAATGTTAAAAAAAGAAGAAGAAGAATAAGGGCTAAAATGATTATTTAGTCAAACGTTAGGAGATTTTTTGTCATAAAATGAAATGTTGAGAGTAAAAATATTCCAAAAAAAAAGGAAAAAGAAAGAGACTTAAATGACTAATAAATTAAACGTTAAGGGCATTATTTGGTATTATGCCAACATTATATGAATAATTATTTTTTCAAGAGAAAAAAATAACAAAGAAACAAATGGATAAAGAAAATTCTAGTTTAGTTCTAAAATAATATGTATGCCCTTTGTACTTGGACAGGAACTGGAACATGGGGAGTTGTCCGAGTAAGGACCATCCATTTGAACAGCAAGCCTCGAATTCTAACATTGAAGCAGGATTTGCACTACTGGCCTACATGGGAGCTGAGATTTGATCCAGCGACCGCAATCTGGCATCGACGGTCGATTAAAGCCTTAGTGTGTCATAATCTTTGAACCAGGCTTCTTTTTATTTTTCGGTTTCCCTTCCTTTTTAGGAAGGATCCGAAGAACAGTGTCAGATATATTTTTCCTGGTATTACCTATGGCTAATTGTTGTTTTTCCACACTGGGTTAAGCTCGGTTGACAGGCTCGTGCCATGGACCATGACACTGGCATTCAAGGTTGTTTGGGTTGTATATCATATGAGTACCATATTGTGAGATTTAAGTAGGATGGAAAAAGGGAATATTATTTTCCTTAGAGGATCTGGATTCGAACAGTTGAATTCGAACAATTTCATTTACAAATTGTGTGTACTTTGTCAATAAGTTAAAGAAAAATTCTTATAAATCAACTTAGACTATTAAAAAATATATTTTATGGTAGGTTTCTACAATGATTTTAAATTTATAAAGTGTATGAAAATACTACTATAATTATTTTCAGCTACTTGACGTTGTATTTAATCAAGTTATAGACTAACATGGGTAAATGATTGGATGAAACGAAAAAACAAAAACTCGAATGCTGGAAACTTACCATCAAACTTAAATCTTAAAAATAAAAACAACCAACTTTTTTCTATCAAAATATTATTCGAAAATTGTAAAATATATAAAACTTCACTTAGAATTTTAAGTCCTCGAAATGATTTCGTTTTTCCTTTAAATGCATAACGACCTGAAGTTCTTTTGAATAATATTTTTAGTATGTTAACTATTACTTTTATTTTGTTTTGGTCATCCATCTATTCATATTTTTTTAGTAGTCTGGGATGATTATAAGGTAGCATTTGATTTGTTCAAAACTTTCTTAATTAATTGACAATATGCACACACTCTATAAATATTACTGCTTGAACTTAGGGCTTCTAGAGAGAACAATATTCTCTTTTACACTAAGTCCACTTCATGAAATCAATAAAATAATTAAATTAGAAAAATAATATCAAATTCAACCTTGAGAATAGAGAAGATGTGCTAATAATAAACAACGTATTATAAAAATAAAAAACCACTCATCATTTTTATACGAAAAATAATAAGAAAATGAAATAATGACACAAATATAAAAGAATTAAACGAATGCTAAAGTAGTGATAAGTGAATGGCCATATTATCTATTAAGCCAATATGGGCTTCCTTACCAATCAAATTATTCGGCCTAGCAATGGCAGATTGACCCGAACCCGACGGGAAACCCGAAACCCGGTCAAATTCGGATCGAGTCGTGTTTCGGGAATTTTTTTGGGTCGGGGACGGGGCAAAAAAAATCCCCGACGGGCCGCCCCGATAAAAAACTCATTTGGGATCGGGTCGGGGATTCATTTTGGGTTCGGGGATGGGACGAGCAAAATCCATCCCGAATCCGTCCCGTTGCCATTCCTAATTCGGCCTTATGAAAACCTTAATTTAGATTTATATCTAGGATAAACTTCACATTTAATACTTGAACTATTACTTGGATTTCATTCTAATTTTTAAATTTTTAAAATCATACATAATGTTTAATTTATGCTTTAATTTGATAATTATTATTAAAAAATTTACAGAACTACTAATGTAGTATTCTTTTTTAATTCTTTTCAATGATGATAGTGGTGTTAAATTTTTTAGTGATGAGTATCAAATTAAAACTTAAACCAAACGTTAAATAAAATTTTAAAAAAGTAAAGTTTAGATATTAAAACGAAAAAAAAGTTATAATTCAAACACTAAACATGTAGTTTACCTTATATCTATTACAAATAAAAATAAACCCTAACCGAAACGGCGCACAAAACCAAACCCGCCATTGCTGCTCAACCTCCTCTGGCAGTACTATCCAACCGCTTGCAAAGGTTTCCGCTTCTTTCTTTATCCTTGCTGGGAAGAAATAGCATTTGCAATAACCGCTTGCGCTTGATGTCCAAGGACTCCGATGGGTCGGGTGGACTAACTTTATAACGATGCTGGAACTGAGCTTGTTAGAAGAATCGCTAAGATGGTTCCTGGAATTGGTGGCTTTGACGGAATTTTCCCGCTCGGTAACATTATTTGTACCTTTTTTATATGATCTAGTTTCATTCGCCGTTAAACGGAGTCCTTTTAATGAGGGAATTTACTATTTTTAAAGCGTGTTTTTCTTTTCTTTTCATGAAAAAGTGCTACTTCTTTACCTTTCTTATTCGTTGAATATAGGAAATTGTTAAGCCTAGTCGTTGGCTGATTTTCCCATTTTCTGTTGCAATATCCAATAATATGAATTTTTGTAAGTTCGTTTTTTTAAATTTTTTTGTTAGGTTATGGATTAAGTAGCTTAATATAATTCTTAATTATGTACAATTGATGGAAAATATATAGGTTCATGTGTCTAACATAGGTATATTTAACATTTTCCCCAAAAATTCTATGTATCTAGAGGGCCTTTAGAGAATCACATCTCCATTCTCGTGTCTGGATGAGCGATAGACATGAGTATCGAACATGGGTATTTCAAGAAAAGTATTCGGAGCAACGTAGTTTTCTAGTGAATTGAAGAACTTTGATAGAAACTTTCATTAGCTGATTGATTGTTATGAGCTTTTCTATGATGCTCGACCTTTTAGGTGATGCTTTTTCGGCTTTTCCAAATTGTCAAACTTATTCACTTCTCTTTTTTTTATTTCTTAAAATATATTGTATGGTTCTTCAAATTCAGTAGGTAAAATCCAGAATTTAACTGAGAAAGTCAGGTTCTTGTTTTTGGAAGTTGGAAAGCATATCAATGATGCTTCTACTTGTTACTTCTGCTGTTTTCAGGTTGTTTAATGCAATGTATTGTAGCAGGATCTATGCCGATGGCATTCAGGGGTCATTGGAGAGCATACAGCTCAAAAATAGACCTGAAGAAGCTTAGGCCAATGATACTCGAAAGAATTGAGAACCGAGCGAAGGATTATCCAGTGCCTGGAATGATTCCAGTGGCCGAAGAGGTTCTCAAGGCCAGAGAACTTCTTTTCCAAGGAGTCTTCACCCTGCTCAAACTATTCCCCATAGTTTCTTGCAAGTAGGACCCACTGCCCCTCATTTTCTCTATCTATTCAAATACACCTTAATCTGATTTTGCCTCGTTTATAAATAGTACGAAGTAAGCTTTTATTCATGCTAGACCTAACTGCTATAGCATCTGCAAATAAAGACTTATGGGTAGGCAGCAGGTTGGCAAAGTGATAAATTTGTTTGGAAATTTCACTAATTGTTGTCTGTTGATGACTCGGAAAAATGCTTTAGAATTACACTTTTAATGTTCTGTGGAAAGCATAAAGGTGTAAATAACTATGTTGTTTTGACTTGAGTGTGATTGCCGAATATGTCTTCTGGTCAGATTTTCCTGAAATTTTCATATATTTTGGAGGATTCTTGGAGGTCATATTCATATCCTGATATCCATTTGTCGGACACAAGTGCTAAACATGGGTATTTCAACAAAAACTAAAGATATTAGCATTAAGATAAAAAAATTTTGGGGGTAAATTATTGAGTATTTTTATAATTTATTTAACATTAGATAAGTGTTTAAAGTATTTTAACATTAAATACAAGAAAACATTTTTTTGATAGAAATAGGAGGCCTCATTAAAAACCTCCCTCATAGTTGGCTCTTGTGAAAGAGGCAACTAGTGGAAGGAGGAAAAGAGCACCTCAATTTATTGATAAGCCTTAATACATAAGACTACAGGTTACAAGCTAACTTCATAAAATACAGGACAACAACAAAATAACACAGAATTTGAACACATTCAACCAATCCCCTCCTTAGCTAACTTGTCTGCCTCCCAATTACAGCTCCTAGGAATCCATCTAATGATAATATCCCTAGAGGAGATTAACGCCCCAATTTCCCTCACCAATGTAGAAAAAAACGTTGGAGCAGTAATTGGCATCAAAATCCAGTCAACTATTGTTTTGCAATCACTCTCTAAGATTAATCTTCCTTTCAATTCCCATTCAGAAGTAATGAATAAATCAATGCCTTGTTTAATGGCCTTCAGCTCAGCAAACGTAGCAGGACCTTGTCCCACAGCAGACGAGAAACTGATTAGAGTAGAACAATTCGAATCTTTCAAAACTCCTCCAATTCCACCCTGCGACCCATCGCCTTTAACCGCCCCATCAACATTGAATTTAAAAAAATCTGGAGGAGGAGACCAACATTGAACCTTCTTGTTCTTCGAGGATTTAACAGAAACCCTGTCTGCAAGTGTTGGATCCCCTACAAGTAAATCAGTCTGAATATTAGCTTGAGGAAATTTAGCTAGAAACCATTTGGCCAGCCTAAATCTGGAAATGAAGAACCAAGATGAGATGTCAAATTTCCAGTTATCGAAAACCACTGAATTCCTAGTCTTCCATAAAGACCACAAGACAACACCAGGGATAAAATTCCATATATTAGAATGCTCCCTAAGATGAGACCAAGAAGAAAGTAGGGCAGAAGGATCTTGTGGCAAAACAGAAGAGATATCCCAAAACCTAAGAAATCTATTCCACAGTTCCCCTGCAGCAGAGCAAGAAATAAAAAGATGTTGAATTGTTTCCTCATACTTGAGACAAAAAGGACACATAACATCTTGCATAGGAACCCCACTTTTCTTCAGTTCCACTCTAACATCCAATTTCTGGTGACTAATCTGCCATAGAAAAGTTTGAACTCTAGGAGGAGTCAAACCATACCACACCCACTTGTTCCACTGAAAAGTACCTCCAGTACTGCCTCTAATAGTCATTCTGCATGACTTCACCGAGAACAAACCGTCACCTTTCCCCGACCATGCAAGAAAATCATCCACTGATTCGTTCATAGCTATATTCTCAATCAATAACATTAAATTTAACCATTGATCCAATTCCCAGTCACATAGATTCCTCCTCAGCTGAATATCCCAAACCCAACCATTATTGACATAGCAACCAAATTCGGCCAATTTCCCCCTTTTATTAGTCGATAAAGCAAAAATCCTAGGAAATTGATTCTTTAGAGGAGATTCATTAACCCAAACATCATTCCAAAACTCAATTGACCTACCATTCCCCACTTGGATCTTCGAATGGGACCTCAAACACTCCCCTACCTCTTCCTTTTTCTCATAGCTGTTTTGGATACCTCTCCATACCCATGAATCCTGAGCAGAAACTGCCTTGCATAATGATAGTGATAAATTGCTGACATTTTGTTTGCAACACAATAGTTTTTTCCATGGAGTCTTTTTCATTTGCATACTTCCACACCCACTTCCCAAGCATCACTCGATTAACCAGAGTCAAATCCAAGACTCCCAAGCCACCCTCTTCATATGGTTGACACACCGTTTTCCAATTTATCCAATGTATCTGTTTCTTTGCAATTCCTTCACCCCATAGGAAACTAGCCATCAATGAGTTGAGTTTTGACATCTCTTTAAAGGAATTTTGAAAATTGATAGATAAAAAATCGGTAGGGAAGACAACACCGACTTCACCAACACCAATCTTCCCGCCATCGATAAGGAGCCAGCTTTCCAGCTTGCTAATCTGTTGTAAACTTTCTGTATGACAGGTTCCCACAGCACCTCTGTATTCTTCTTAGCGCCTATCGGTAAACCAAGATAAGTCATCGGAAATGATCCCATCCCACATCCTGCTAAAGAAGCCCATTCTTTTAAAATATCCTCATCCAAATTAACTCCAAATAACTTACTCTTAGACATATTAAGGTGGAGTCCTGATATAAGACTAAACACCCTCAAAACTCTCTTGATATTGAGAATTTGAGTTGGAGAATCTCTGCAAAATAAGATTAGATCATCTGCAAACTATAAGTGAGTCAAATTAAAGAGGTTATCATCCCTACCTATACTGAACCCTTCGAAAAGACCAATGTCAGCAGCTTTTATCAACATTAAATTTAAGAGTTCCCCGACTATATTAAACAGCAGAGGGGACAAACTGCAGCCTTGTCTCAACCCCTTGCCCATCTGAAATTCTTCAGTTGGTGAACCATTAACTAGGACTAAGATTGAAGCAGAGGAGATACAATATTCAATCCAAGAAATCCATTTATCCCCAAAGCCCATGACTTTCATCAGTCTCACTATAATCGACCATTCCACTGAATCATTGGCTCTACGAAAATCCACTTTGAAAACAATTCCTTTCCTTCCTTTTTTCCTCCAATAATCAATGGATTCATTGGCCATAAAAGCACAATCAAGTAGCCGCCTTCCAGGAATGAAGGCAAACTGCGAAGGACTAATAATGCCCTTAATAATTGAAGCAAGCCTTTTTGATAAAACTTTGGAGATTATTTTGTATAAGCTACCAACAAGGCTTATTGGTCTATAATCCTCAATATCTTCAGGATTAAGTTTCTTAGGAATCAATGTAATAAATGCATGATTGACTCCATGTTCCCAATTCCTCCCTCTGTGAAAATCATCCACGAACTACATGAGATGATCCTTCAGAATAGGCCACAACTTTTTTTAAAAACCCATTGTGAAACCATCTGGACCCGGGGCTTTGGCACTGTGCGACTGAAACACTGCTTCCCAAACTTCTTGTTCTGAAAATTTGACTTCCAGTCCATTTTTATGCTCCTCTGTTAATGTCGCAAAACTGAGTTTAATTTCCTCCACCTCTATCGTAGTTTTCTTACTGTAATTCTCCCTGAAGTAATCAAAGAAAAAGGCCTTCAACAGATCTGGGTTAGTAATTTCTTCACCAGCCACCTTCAATGCTGAAATTGAATTCATTCTGTTTCTATTTACTGTTGTTAAGTGAAAAAACTTCGTGTTTCTATCCCCATCCTTATTCCATTTCAACCTTGACCACTGTAACCAAATGCTCTCTTCCTTCCTATGCAACTTCCACAATTCATTCCTCGACAGTAACAGCACATCTCGTTCTCGTACATCTAAACCACCATTTTGTGCCTTCAAGTCCAGATTGTTCACCCTGTCTTCTAATTCTGAAATTTCTGCAGAAATCCCCTTTTGGTTCGAGTTTGGCCACTTCCTTATGACTCGTTTGGTTCCTGAAGTAAAGAAAACAGCCCCCTTCGAGATTTCTTCTTCTTTACTCTTGACAGTGAGTTTTCAACCAACCCATCAAACCCGTCTTCCTCTAACAAATAATTGAATAAGCGAAAAGGCTTGGGTCCCCAATTGATGCATTCATCTTCTAACACCACAGGATTATGGTCCGAAAGTGATTTGGTAAGCATTTTTGAGTCACTCTTGGAAAGTGATAAATGAAGGAACTACTAATTAGAAACCGATCAAGCCTTACCCAAGTGGAAGACTCTCGATTGCTGCACTAAGTATACCTTCCCCCAACTAACGGTAAATCCATCAAGTTAAAATGTTGAACAAACGATCTAAACAAATCCATGGAATGCCAATTTTGTGAAACCCCACATTTCTCCTCTGGATCCAAATAAGCATTAAAATCCCCCCTATGCAAACTTGCAGATTTAAGCTTTGCACAAAACACATCAACTCCCTAAAAAATTCCTCTTTATCCGCCTCTACCGACGGACCATACACATTTATAATAACACAATCTAAGTTCAGCATTTTGAACTTCCCTGATATTGCCATAAATCTGCTCAGAATGTGTTCACCGCTGACCTCAAAAACATCCTCATTCCACGGAAACAACAAACCGCCTGCAGAGCCATTAGCAGGAAGAAAACTGCCCCCTTTCAGAAGATCACCCCCTAACTTCCTCCATAAACCACTTTGGCAAACATTCAGTTTAGTCTCCTGTAATAAGAGGATGAATGGCTTCTCTCTGATTACGAGTCTCACCACTGCTCTGATTTTTTCTCTTCTCCCAAGACCCCTCACGTTCCAAGTAATTATTTTTAACTTAAACATTATATAAAAATATCATAAACACCCAATCAATCCCAAGGAAACCAATCAGGCTCCCATGGAAGACCCCTTCAACTCCATCTTGAGGATCTCCTCCTCTAAAAGGTGCTGCCCTCCTTTAAAAGTAATTCCTAACATATCACACACCTCCCTGGTAGCAACACCTTCAATCCTAGCTTTCACTAAAGATTGGGACGGTTTAGAAGAACTGACTTATGCGAAAGAATCCCTGACCCTACTTCTGGACACCCTTCCGTAGACTATGTCATAGAAACTAATAGACACTTCGCCCACAGAGCACACACTGCCTGAACGAAGTGGAGCGATTCTCAACCTCCTCTTGTTACATAAACTTTTAGACCGAGGAACCAACTGACCATGATTAATACCAGGAGACTGCAAAAACTCCTTCATTTTACACTGACCATCAGAAAATATCTCTGACCAAATTCTATCTCGATTCACCAAGTTCTCAACCCTAACACCTGAGCTTGAACATCTAGCTTCGTTAGGTCCAATCTGGTTATCATCCATGACTATCTTCGTATTTATTGGATCAGCTCTATGATTCACCAAAGCATTAACCCCGTCTACAACATTAGCAAACTGTGGAAAACTTGCAAGGTTCCCAATTCGAATGCTGAGTCCATCAGACTTCACTTTAACCATATCTATGGTTTGGTCTCTGATTGTAAAATCTTTAACCCCCCCAGTAGAATCTTCCAACAACCTTACGTCACCCACTTCAGCAACATCCATAGGACAAACTGACGTGGCAGTGCGCTGGGGTATAAGTCTACCCCTATCAATAGACTCTCCTAACATTTTTGGAATAAAAGCAGGACTAGAAGGACTTGATTTCATAATTGGAGAGAGTACCCCCAACTTCGTCTGATTTGGCAATAACCTCCGATTCTTTAAAATTCCTCAATCCCAGACCCACGTGAATCCCACTCTGGTTAACCTCATTATCAAAGAAACCTGACAGCACACAATTATTTAAATCTGCAGATGAATGTCTCGATGCATCTTGTCCCCCACTAACACCATTCACACCAACATGCTGTCCATTATGCAGCCATGATAATACTTTAAAGCTGGAATCCTCTGAACTTTCTTGATTACCCGCTGCCGCCGGATCGAGAAGCTGCCCATCCCCCTCCACTGACAGGGCATAATTACTGTTCCAACTCACTGAAGAGTTTAACCTCATTTTCCCCATCACTCCTTCTGGATTCAACCAAACGGACCCCAGGGAAATCTTCACTTTGAAAGATCTTCTATCAGAATTTATTGTAATCGACTCAGGGACATCAAAGGGACTCTCCACCCTGATCAAAACTTTCGCCACCGAAAGATCCAATAAACTATTTGATATTTCAGAAAAACAAATGAATTCTCCCCATTTCCCAGTCATATATTTCAAGAATGCCTCATTCCAGCAGCGTAAAGGCAATCCAAACAACTGTACATGACAAAAGGCCATTGGAACCCATCATCGTTCAGGACTGGAGCTAACCAATTGAAGCATAAGCACAACTCCTCTTTCTTATTCAACCAAGCATATGAAAGCTCCTCGGCCGATTTGAAAGTAATAATGCAAGCATTCCAAGCATAACCCCATCTCAATATCTCAACTCCCACCCCTTCGAACTCCAAAGCTTCCTTAATCGCATCCTGCTCCAAAGAAGGCTTCATAATCCCTGAAAAAGATCTCTTGACCCATTCCGGATGGTCCACCGGAATATGCATCTCCCACCCATTCCTAACACCATTCGCTTTCTGCTTTCCACCCTCCACGAAAACCCTGGGAGCTGATTCTTTACTCGACCTTAGATCAGTAAACAGAACATCCTTGTACGACCTACCATCCCTTGTTCTTCTCACCAACTCAGCCTTCCTCCCGATTACTGAAGCTTCATGTTTACCTGATCTGTCCCCCTCCAACTTCTTCCCCTCAGCAGCAGCTCGCCTCTTAGTCTTATGATATTTGGCAATCCCCACCGAGACTCTTCTTCCTTCAATCCACTTCCCATTGACTTGCTGGATTGCCTTGTTTCTGCTTTCTTCTCCCACAAATTGAACAAAAGCAAACGTTGACGACCTATAATTTGGTTTCTCTAGAAAACGAGGGATGTAAATTCTAAGAATCTGACCAAACGAACTAAAGGAATCCCTTAACGCACCTCTTGAAACACTCTTACTAAGATTATCAATGAACACAGTCCATTCCTCATCGGAGGTTGATTTTTCCAAATTTTCTCTAACTCTCTCTACCTAGCGCACACATTTTCTGAAATTTTATCAACTGAAATTATTTCCTCTTTTTTTTTGGATAGAAATTAGGCCTCATTAAAACCCCCTTTTGCACCCTCCATGTTATACAAGTAACATGGAGGACAAATAAGGAGGAAAAGAGTACCTAGAAATTTATAGATGAAAACTAGTACATCATAAGCAAACCCTCACAATCTGCTAACATCCTCAAGAATTACATAAAACTTAAAAACCACAGCTAAACAAAGCACAAATTCCTACACTTCAACACAAACAAACAGTAACCAAAACATCACCCTATCCCATCTTTAGCTAATTTATCAGCTTCCCAATTTGCAGCCCTCAAGATATGCCTAATAATGATATCCTTCCCTGCCATAAGAGAGACTATATCCTTCACCAATAAATGAAACATAGGAGTGCATAACCCCGGATTCTTTATCCACTTCAGAGCATTGCTTGAATCTGATTCAAGAATGATCCTCTTATTCAGAACAGAAATGAAATCTGCCAAGAGACATAACCCCCTCTTAATCGCCAACAATTCTGCCAAGATAGGAGGACCACCCCCGACTCTTTCTGAGAACCATTTAATCAACATGCCCTTGCTGTCCCGAATCAGACCGCCAATACCTCCCTTATCCCAGCCCTTTGTCATCGCTCCATCAACATTTATCTTTAAGAACCCATCCGGAGGAGGGACCCAGCAGATTGAATGTGGATTACCATTTCCCTGTCTTCCCACTAAATCAGCAAGTTTTAAATCACCCACAAGTGAGTCTAACGGGACATGCACCTCCTTAAACTTTGCAACAAACCAGGAAGCTATTCTAAAACGAACAATAAAAAACAATCTCACCCTATCCATCTTTACTTTCTGAAAAATGATCTCGTTCCTGCATTTCCATACTGACCACATCAACGCCCTTGGAATAAACTCCCAGATCACTGAGTTCGGGAGTAAATCATCCCACAAATTCAAAAAATCCATGATGTTATTTGGAATCACAAAGGACAAATCCCAAATATTCAAAAATTTAGACCACAGACCCCAAACTACCTCACAATGCAAAAAGAGATGCGTAACTGATTCCGTTTCCCTACCACACAAAGAACATAGAGGATCATCTATCCCAACCACACCTCTCTTCAATAGTTCCTTCTTAACCGCTATTCTCTGATGAGCAACTTGCCAAACAAATGTCTCCACCCGTGGAGGAGCAATCCCAACCCAAATATGCCTCTCCCAGGTCACCCTCTTCTGCTCACTACCATCTTGATCATAGAAAATGTTGATACAAGATTTAGCTGAAAAACAGCCCTCTCCATTCCCTGACCAAATCCAACAGTCTTCTTCACATGGAGATAAAGAAATATTATTCAACATAGCCATCAACTGCAACCACTGATCAACCTCCCAATCTGACAAATTTTGCCTCATTTGAATTTCCTCTTTTAAATACAAGAAAACATCAAACTGTCCAGTTCAATTGATTGAACCGATTATACCAGTAACCAAAGTGCTGACCAGTTTGACTTCTAGTCCTTTTTTAAACATTGAGAAAATTCCTCTGATTTTACTGCATTACTCTAACCTCTATTTGTTATTATTATTATTTTTAAAAAACCATTGATTGATATAAATGTTTGCAGGTTTTGTCCAGAGGTATACATCGGTGAGAAAGGTCATTTAATCCAGACTTGCCACGGATACAGGCGCATTGGAAAGAATCGGGTTCATGAATGGGTCCATGGTGGTTTGAATGACATACTTGTCCCTGTAGAAGCTTTTCATCTGCACAACATGTTTCAGGGTGTTATCAAACACCAGCAAAGATTCGATTTCGAACGTGTTCCCGCAATCGTGGAGCTTTGCATGCAAGCAGGAGCAGATGTAACAGATGAAATTTTGAGATCTGGTTCATTAACCGCTGAAGAATCTTATGGCGGAATCAGTGGAATTGAGTCTTTGTCCGATGATGATATAAGGGTGGTAGCAAATGGCACGTTGAAGGCATGGGAGACACTTAGATCCGGTGTTAAGAAGCTATTACTGGTCTATCCCGCAAAAGTTTGCAAACATTGTTCCGAAGTTCACGTTGGGCCATCCGGTCATCAAGCTCATCTTTGTGGAGTATTTAGATATGAGAGTTGGCGTGGCTCCCATTATTGGATAAAGGCAAATGTTAATGACTTGGTCCCTCCAAAGATGGTGTGGCGGCGACGGCCTCAGGATCCAAAAGTGCTTTTGAATGAAGGTCGGGATTACTACGGCCATGCACCGGCGGTAGTCGATCTGTGTTCAAAAGCAGGTGCTATTGTTCCAAGTAAGTATTTATGTATGATGAAAGTGAATGGTTTACCTGGACCTATTACTAGAGTGTAACCTTGATATTGTTAGCAAAATCTCAAGTCTGAGGTTGTGTTAGGGCTCATCATTTATACAATTTCCTGCTATAATGACAAGTATTTATTCAACATTGTAGTCTCTTCCAAAGCTTGAGTTACTCTGGAGATGGAAGAAAAGGGAAATAGAATTTGGAAAGATGAACAAAATGTTGGTTTTGAATTCTTTAATATTAAATATTAGTTCATTTAATCAAATATATTTGTTAAATACTAAAATTGCAGTTAGATGTAGATATTTAAAAAAAACATTAAATTGAAACCATTAAACCAAATCAATAACTTTTGTAGTAAAATTAACCTTAATAGAATAATATCGATTTTAATTTTAATTAATCAGAGTTTGTTTTTTCTTAAAATATATATTTTTAATATTTTTAAACTTTTATTAATTATTTTTTTATTTTATATCATAAAAATAAAAATTGAATTCTTTTTATTTTTTGGATAAAAAAGATACTTAATTGCTATTCAATACTGAAATTAAACCGAATTCAATAAAAACAAAGCCGAACAAAAGTTTCAATTTTGGATTGTTTTTCCTTAACCCTGGTGTCTACTTCGCAATGGGATAAACTGCTATCCCAAAAGAGATTCTGGTAAAGTGAAAAGATGATGATAAGATGATTCGGTGTTGAGAGGACTGAAGAAGAGATAAATGTGAGATCCATCTTCCACTCCAAAATCAACTAGAGAAGCTCCATCTTCTTCTTTTGTTATAATCCGGTTTCGGTCTTTATGATCGACAACCAAGATCATACGATCGCTGGCCAAATTTTCCCGAGCTTCGATCTCTTGTTTTAGGTCATTAACTTTGGCATCGTCGTCGACTTGAATGTAAAGGAGGTTTCCGGTCAGAATCTCCACCACCACCTTCATGCTTTCCTTATCAAATTGTCTCTCATCCATATAGGAATTTACATAAGAAAAAATGTTTCAAGATGTGTGATAAAACCAAACAAATTACATGTTCGTGTTAGCTGCATTTTCGGTAGTTAGTTTTTAGCATGCTTGTGGCATGAAACACTTCCCATTCAAATTCTCTAGCAAACAAGAAAAAGAGAAATAATATTGATAATAAATAAAATAAAGTAAATAACAATATTGCTGAATTCAATTGATCGTATTTTATTATAGTATCAGAGAGGATTGATTTTAATATATTTGACAGTTATTTGGAGTTTTGGAGTCTTCGTTAAATAATGTGAGTAATAACCACAGTTGAAGCAATAATCTTTTAAAAATATAGTAAATAATTACTTCAGGAAGATACGTTAAATGTATGACGATATAATTTGAAACACTTATAATGGACAACCAATTGAATTTCGGTATGATACGTGGCTTGGTATTGAAGTACCTTTAGATGAAAAGAGTCTATTTTTTCTAATCCATTCCTAACGTTGGAAGCCTCGTCTCATGACCAAACATCGACAAATGTTAAAAGAGCCTGCAGATATATTGAGACTGAGTGTAGAAGATGACAGTCATATATTGAAAATGTATAATTCTATGTTACCCATGTTGAAGCTTCAACAGTTTGGTTTGATGGGAATAAATGTTTGGATGGCTATTAATTTGTCTCGACCAGGACTCTTTACAAACGTTAGAGAGGGTTGGTTATCCCTTATTATATGTTGAAACTTTGTTGAAAAATAAAGTGTTCTAGATAGTAGATGGTAGTTTTCGACTGAAGGATGAGATTCTAAGAATAAAGTCATCCCGTTTATTGTCATCTTTAAATTATAATACTCGAGATAAAGTTTCAGTTACACAAAGAAAATCGTCGATTGGGTAGATGAAAGCCAACTCAAATGGGGTTGTAAGGTGCCATGATAGTGTAAGAAGAAAGGGAAAGTGAATGATCTAGTAAGAAGAGTGAATCTTAAGATTAGATTAGGTCATGGTTTAGGGTTAAAATACATGGTGTCGACACAGACTGAATCTTCTAATTAGCTTCACCTCTTTTACTAATATTACTACGAGCACAACCGTTGTTTATCGATTGATTTAGCGAAAGACTTGATTTAACTACAAAGATTGATAATGGTGATGATTTAAAGAGAAACTCAAGCTTAAATTTAATTCCATATATTTTTTTAATCTTTTTCTATTATTTTATAGTTGGTTTAAGAAAATATAATTTCTTTAAAAAAAAATTAGAATTGCTACTTGGTTTGATGGTTATGCGCTAGGATAGCTCCCCGTTGAGACTCATCATAGTCAAATTTTGGCTTCTTTTCATTTAAATCAATAAAATGATGACACGTGTAATAATCTTATTGGAGGAGAATAATTTAATAAAATTAATTATATAAAAATTAATTTAAGATATATTTTTTAAATGTAAAAATGACATGTCAGTTTTTTTAGGCCATGTAGATTTATCATGTCAGCTTCAAACGTTAATCGATAGTTAACTAATGATTTTTATCTAAAAAAGTTACTATGATCTAAAATAAAACGTCGATGGCTAAAGTGCTTAAAGAAATAATATGAGTCAAATTAATTATTTAATCAACATTGAGAGTAGATTTTGATATTATACATAAACCAATTATGTTTCTAATTGAAATTTTACCATGCTTATATGTTTTAAAGGGTAAATACACAAATGATCACTACATTATACTAAAATAATTTTTGGTCATTGAAGTTTTAGAAGTTAAGAAAATAATCATTAAACTTATAGAACTGTTACATAATAATTATTAAATTTTATCAAATTAGTATAAAATTATCATTAGAACTTATCGAACTGTTATAAAATAATTATTAAACTTATCAAAATCTATCAATATTTTATAACAATGATCATATTATAACTATTCAATAACATAATATAATTTTATAATTTTCTAGACTTCAATAACCAAATAATCATTTCAACATAAACTTTAAAAAATATAAGTGTATTCCAAAATAACTTTCAATCTTGAAAATCCAAATCAATACCGTAGACAGTTATTTTCATCTGGATTTGCTTTTTCATCTATATATATATATATATATATACATGCACAATAATATAGTTTAATTTTTGGAAATGTTTTGAAAAAATAAATTTTTTAGAAAATGTTTTTTTAAATATATATATAATTTTGAAAGCATTTCAAATATATATATATATATATATATATTATAGTTTTGAAAATTTTGAAAACATATATAATATATATAGTTTTTGGAAATGCTTTTGAAAATATATTTAATATATATTTTTTGATTTTTAAAAAATATATAATATATAATTTTTGAAAACATTTTTTAAAACATATATAATATATAGTTTTTAAAAATATTTTTTGAAATATTTTTTGAAATAGGGTTTTGAAAATATCTTTTTAAAAAAGCATAATATATATATATATTATTCTATTTTATTTACTATTACTATTATTATTATTATTTTTACTATATGTTTTTATTTATCTTCTTTTTAATTTAATTTCTTTTTATTTATTTTTTTTGTCCAGGTCCAGTCTAATACAGTCCGGTTTGAGGGCCTAACCCAGCCCATAATCGAAATCCAGAAAGCTAGGGTTTACAAACTTCAGTCAATAGCGTCGCGCAGTCAAAGGATTCAAGGGTCCGGTGCGAAACGGTCGGCCGAAATCTCGGGACTGACCCATCCCAGGATGACCGACCACAACAACCATGACCCCCTCATTTCGGGGCTCAAAACGGTCGGCCATGGGGGTTATAAAAGCCCTAAAAGAGCAACACGATGAGGACAGAGACTGCCAAAGAGAATAAACAAAAGAACCAACGAACCAAGCATCAACAAGAGAGTCACAAGAACCATAAAACCACCACAGATCGAACAAGACAACAACATCCACACAAAGGAAACCAACATCGAAACCCAGAACAAAACCCATCATAGTACCAACACAAAAAGCCAACCACAAAACCATCGAACCCACCAACAACAGAACAACAGCAAATCCACATCCAAAATGGCAAAACAATAGATCAAAACCAAGCACGCGCACACAAAAAAACATAAAGCCAAAGCATCAACCGAAAAGGCTCCGAGAAGTGGAAAAGCCGACGGAAAAGGTTAGGTGTCGAAGGGTTTTTTTAGATCTAAGTTTATTGGGGTTTGTTTTGGGGATTTAGAGGTTGGTTTTGGGTTCACGGTGACTATGAGAGAATTTTGAGGTTGTTTTGTTTTTCCAACGGCTGGAGGGGCGGCAACACGGCGGGGAGAGGCCATAGGGGCGGTGGCCGGATATCGCCCTGGTTAGAGAGAGGCGAGAGAGAAACTTTTAGAGAGAGAAGGATTTTAGGAAAATGATGAGAAATGAATTTGTTTTAGGTGATTTTCGGCTTATATACGACCCGCTGGGTCGACCCGACCCGAAGGATGGATCCGCGTGTTTTCTAGGATAAAAGGGAAAATTATTTTTTTGGTCCCTTATTCTTTGTAATAATTCATTTTGGCCATTTAATTTGAATTTAACCATGATTTTACTTTTAATTTTATCCCCTAATTTCATTTTCTTTTAAATTAGTCCTTTTTTATTTTATTTATTTTTTATTTCCAATTTCGTATATATATTTTTATCATTTTTTTGTATATATTTATTATTATTATTTACCTCTTATTTTTTCTTTCTATTTTATTTTATTTCATTTTATATTTTTTGGTTTATTTAATATTTTTATTATTATTTTTTTACATTTTGTTTTATTTTCCTTTGATTTGTTTTATTTGTTTACTTATTTTTATATTATTATTATTTTTAATTGTTTATATTTTTTTCTTTATTCTTTTTTTAATTTTAATTTTATTTCTTTTGATTTATTTAGTATTTATTTATTTATTTTCTCTAACATTTTTAACTTTGTAGATAAATTCCAACTGATTAAATGTAAATAATTCGAATCGAATGCTTTTAAATTTTAATTTTAATTTTTTCACAATTAAAACAACCGATAAATTAATTGGTACCGAAAGGGTTGTTCAAAGGTGCTAATCCTTCCTTGACCGTAACTGGCTCCCAAACCCGACACTTTTCTGGTAAAATGCAGATTATGTAAGATGGTGTCTGATCTACCTAAATATCATTTTAAAATGATCGATAACGACTATAACCCAATCAATTCAAGTCGAAGCCCAATTTCAGACCCAACCGAAAGTCGACCGCTACAAATACTCCACAATTTTTTCTAGTCAAAATACCAAAAGCAATAGTAAATATTTTGATTTTCATATCATAATGTCAAATCCCAGGTTCCAAATTCAACGGTCAATATATATATTTTTTGAAATAATTCAACAGTCAATATTGATTACGCTATATTGTTTCTATTTTCAAACCGCAACACCTTGTAGTTGAATTCTTCATTTCCTTCCTAGCACTGGCGAATACCCATCTCCTCCGCTGCCCACCGCAGTATACCATCGAGGCCTGCACCGTGCGCCGAAGCGGAATCCCACACCCCGCAGCCAACCTGCTCCTCTCCGGTGCCGTACGCCCGCAGCTCTGAAGGATTTCTCTGAACCCGACATTTTCCCTAACCTGAGAACATTGTCAGGTATGTAAAATCAAGTTTGTAACTTATGGTTTTTGCATCATATAGAAGACCACTAAAATCATATAGTCAAACTTTTACTTTTAGACATGGCGGCACCATCTTAATTGCAGCTGGCGGCAGTTATATTGCCTCTAATATTCAGTTTAGAAATCATATTTGCATTGCAAGTGTGTGTGCTTAAATTAGTTACTACAGTTATTTTATTTTTGCTGATTTTTAGGTATGATATCTTAACACAAAAAAGATTCTCACTTTTTGGTGCATTATTTTAGTTTCCCATGCAATATCTGAGTGATTTTTTGTTTTAGATTGGATTGGATCTGGATTTGGCTCATGGTCAAATAATTGGTACCCATTAAATTAGTTTGAGAGTTCAAACTTTGTCATGACCG